CATCGTGCGTAAACATCCCAGCCCCTCTGCTTGTATCTCCGTGGCCTGCTGCCCCAAAGCCCCATCAGCTCTAAAACTAGCTTCCAAGTCCAGCCACGGTCCCACAAAACGTTGCAGACATAAGTCTCTCATTCGAAACTGCCTTTGGTGCACATTTCTGATTCTCTCACCAAAAGTAATGCCAGGCAGAATTTCTTTTCTCAGCTATGTTGTCACAGAATAATGAAAATCTATTTTGTATCACATTTCAGTATAAATTAAATAGTACCTGCAAATTAAATGGTGCCTACCAAAAAATATCAGCCAGCTCTATGTAGTGCCTCTTGCTCTGGTTTTCTTTTCCAGAGCTGCTGTTTTAACGCCATCACAGTTACCTCCTTATCCACAGTTACCCCCTTATTTATTACTTTCTTCCCACACCTTTGGAGCCTGCATTTTATCTTGTGTTTGGGCTCTGGTGGCTAATTTTATTTTTATTTAAGAAAATGTTTCTCAGATAGTTAAAGCAGTTGTTGTGATGCTGTTTTATTAATGGTGATGTAGGACATTATGAGAACAGAGCAGAAAGTGTCTCACTGCTGCTCTTAAAGAGTCTTATTAGTTTGGCCTGAAAAGTTTTGTGATAGAAGCAGGACTGGAACAGAGGTTGGGTAAAAACAAATGGGAAATTAAGTTTCCTGCTCTGGTAAAGGGTTCATTATTTGCAGCTAAAGCCTCCCTGACGTGATTCCAGTAACCCGACCGAGGCTGCATCAGTCATTTCTGTTGAGGCAGAGCAGAGACAGCTGCTGTCCCTGTTAAATTTTTCTCTTAATAAACAAATAGCAGCCTCTGCAGAGCTGTGGGGGTTTTTTTCTTCTTTTTGCTTTTTTTTTTTTTCTTTTCCCACTAAACTGGCGTTTTCTCTGCTTACAGTCAATGGAAATGGCAGTTCCTTCATGAAGCAGATGGTGTTTGGTGTAGTCACAGCGATGGACCTCCTCACCTTTGTCAGCAAAAATGACAAGCAGCAGCACAGCAGCTTGGCTGCACCCACCTCCGCTCCGACAGCAGGGCCAGCTGCCCCCCCGGAGCCTGAAGCACCCGGCCGAGGGTGCTTTCTGGTCTAACCCAGCTGATAGTTTCTCAAAATGACTAGGTGAAAAATTGTAATGTAATAACCATTTGTTTGCTAAATGCCACCCAGAATGTCACTAAAGAGAAGATAACTAAAGAAATTGCGTTTAATAGCCATGTGTGGTTACACGGAGCTTCCCAGGGCTGGAGAGGTAATGTGGCCGGTAGGGAGGGGAAGGCTGTTATTGCCCAGGTTTTAGCAGGTGGGGGTTTGGGGTGTTCGTTAGCAGTAGGTACCTATGCACTGCCCATGGTGTAGCTGCTGGGGGTCGCCCCGATCCCACTGGGGCTGGAGCCTGTCTCCACCATGAGAAGCTCCAACCTTTTTGAGGGCTGGGGGCAAGCCACATCACGGATGCACCCTCCTGCCCCTCTCCACCTCTTGCAGGGGGGGCTGCAGGCACCCCACAGGAGACCACCCCTCCATCTCACCCCCAGCTCCATTTGGGGGGCCAAGGAGGCTGCTTCTTCCTCCCCTCCCCAGGGGCTCATGGGAGAGGCAGAGCCCTGGAGGAGCGATGAGGAGGGGAGGGGGTGGGACATGGCACCCTGGTATGTGAAAGGTGGGGAGCTGGACAGGCACAGGCATGAGGGACAGGAAGGGACAGCGGAGGGCTGTGAGGGGCAAGGGGGATGAAGTGCTGGGCTGGTGGGGAGCAATAGCTCCAGTAGCGGCAACTGGCCATTGGAAAGCACCTTCCTCAGACCTAGGGGAGCTGGTGGGACCGGCTGTCTCGCGCACAGTCCCACGGGAGTGGGCAGTGAACCGAACCTCTTCAAGAAGTAAAGGCTCATTCTCATGATACAGGAACTGGGATATGGGATATGGCTTCATCCCCATGTCCTGTGACAGTCATCTCATGAATATGCATCCTGAGAGCTCTTTATTGGGGGGTAGAGAGGAAGGAGAGGTTGATCTTAATTTTGCTGTCAGAGTATTATATTCCGGGAACTGAAAATGAAGGTCAGAACAGCCATTTGCCATGGCTGCAAAAAACATAAATGAAAGCAAATGTGAAAGGAGAGCTGTGGGACCAACCTGAAACACCGTTGAAACTCAGTTTGCAGGAGTTGCTCTCAAAAGATGTGAGGAACTTTGCAATCTTTCCGTAAGTCTTGGGAGCTGCTCCAAGGTGGCAACAACCAATTTATATTTTGGCTTGCTGCTAAGTGGCTAGTCAGTACTTTCAATCTAATCTAGATTGTACAAGACTTTTATTAAATTATAGAATGTTGACGTATTTATATTTAGGAAGAGTGTCTCTGCTGTCATGTTTCCTGAGTGACACAAGCCATACCAGATCTTCTGTGAATTTTTGCTTGAGTAATAACCATTTTTGTCTAAAAAGTAAAAACCAATTAGCTCAACCTTCTTGTACTGTATTTATTTTAGTAACTCTGTTGCAAACTGAAGGGTATTAGTCCACGCATGTATTCCAAACTCACATGAATAAGACTTAAAGTGCCCCAGAACTCCATGAAGCCCAGAACCGAGTCTGAATCTGGATCCCTTTGAAACCTGGGGCATGCCAGACCCTTCCTGATGCCCCTAACTGCAGTATGTCCTCCTGTGCAGCAGACATGGCTGCAAGAGAAGGAGCGGAGATTTGCCTCCACACAACAGCCAGTGACTGGCACACCTCTCTTTGCAGGGAGCTCCACTTCACTGGGAGTTGGGACCCTCCCCTCCAACCCTCAGATCCCCCACCTCCTATGCAAGAACCCCAATGGGAGAGCTCTTGTCCCAAAGGCAGCTCACCAGTTTTAAGGTCAGGCATTGAGACAGCTCCTTGGGCTGCTACAGAGACATGGGCACCTTCAAAGGGGTGACTTGCCCATGCCTGGAGACTGCTGCCACCCTTCCCCAGAGAGACCTCTTCTACGTGTGCATGGAAGTAAGTCCCTGCATGCAGGGCAGATCTCTCCCAGGGGGTTAGGGAAGCTTTAGGATGCCTGGGTCACACCCAAGACCTTCAAAGTAGGAATGAGAGCTCCAGGCTGCTGCTGCATGTGTGTGTGCGTGTGCAAACAAGAGCTTAAGACAGCTCCTCTTTTGCTCTAGCAGTGCCCAAGGCTGTGGGGACAAACCATGTCCTCTCAGAAACCGCGCATGTTGATGCGAAAGATGTTCTGTTACTGTGAGTTTGGACAGAAACAAATACATTATTTGACACATTTGAACTGAATGCCTGCAGAGCAGGCTGCTGCCTGGCACGCTGAGCCTGTGGGGCTGTGCACTCTCCTGGGCATGAAAAATGTGGCAGCTCTCAGAAAAACCAACCAGATGACAGGCTGACGGCACGTAACCACTGCCCAGAATTCTGGTGCCCTGAAGTTCCTCTCAGTCCACATGGCCCCTACACCTACGTCTGAACCCCAGTGCTCCCAGCAGCAGCAGCACCAGTGCTGTGGGGCTGTAGCTGCCAGCTGTAGGCAGGCTATGGGGCAGGCAGCTGCACTTCAGCAGAGGGTGAAGTAACTGCTGTGTTAACTACGAATATTTACAAGGGCTTCTGTATGTTAACTATGAGTGTGGGAACTAATAAAGTTGAGTGCAAGCTCCAGACATTTTGGGATTGCTTCACCTGGGCTGTGCTCCAAGGGCCCCCTGCCCATGGGGGCATTGCCCTGGCCAGGGATGTCAGTGTTGCATCTGCTGTAGTTTGCCACAGACCGTGACCTTGAGGGTGCAAATGGGCCCTGCAGCACACACTCAGGGCAGACCCCCACCCCGCCAGCCCCTGGGGTGTTGGGTTGGGTGTATGGGGTGGTGAGAGGGACCGGCTGGTGGATGCCACATCTCCAGAGAGGAAATGGCCTCAGCAAACAGGGGAGGAGGTTTCATTTGCCTTGTCTGCAGAAATCCCCACAGGACCTGTAAACAGGCGCCCGCACACAGCATCAGTGGCAGCAGCGCGACCAACAGCCAAGTGTTTCACCCACTGTCCCTTCTCCCCACGTCCTCAGGGCTGCATTGACAACCCCCTTCAGATAACTGGTCTTTCAAGTTCATTTTGCTTCATGCACTGCCGAGGCCCTGTCAGTATTTTATGTCTCTAGTGAGAGGTGGCCGCCCAGCTCAGCGCAGCCCAGCGCTCTCAGGCTCTGTGGGCACGGGGGTTCCATGCATCTGCCAGAGGAACGGGATTTTCAGGCTGGAGGAGCCATGAGAGGGTGGTGGGAGGAGGGCGAGCGCCGGGCAGCATCCCATCCCTCTGCCCTGAGTGTGGTGCCCAGCTCTGGTGCAGGAGACGGACCCTGGTCCTGCAGCACCGGCCCACGCTCTTCTCCAAACAGCGCCTGCTCCGAGGGGTGTGCGATTGTGTGCGTGGGGGAGTATGTGCTCCTGAAACTCTTGCTGCTCTCCACCATCCCATCTGCTGCGAGATACCTTTGCTTTTCATCCCATTGCTCTGCCAGGTTGGGGGGCACATTTCCAATGAGCTCATTAGTACATCAGGCTAAGACTTTTTCTTAGCAGGGAGCAAACGGCCCTGGAGGAGCTTGGGCTGCCTATGCCAGTCAGGGCACACGGGTTACGCCTGCACGTGAAACTCATGTGAACCTCCTCCACTGAGATACATGGCCTTAGCTCCCTGCAGCTTAATCCAGAGGAGAACACCCATGCAGGGCCTGAAACACTTCAAATGGTGTGTGTCAAGCATGCAGCATGGGAGGGCTGCCCTGCCCCAGGAAGCTGCATGGAGACAAGGATAAAACATGTGCCCCGAGAAGGTCTATGCCCACCTTGAGCTCCTGGGGGGAAGCATTGTGGGGTGCATCACCCAGACCTGGCTGCCCTCCACCCGTGCTGCCTCACTAGAGCTTTTAAATCATTTTGCTTTCCCTCTGGACACTGGCATCTGTGTCCCCAGCAGTCTGAGAAGTGCAAGGGGATGCTGACGCTTCAGAAACCCTGGCTGAAGTCTGCAAAGAGGGGTGTGGGGAGAGATGACAGACCAGCAGACGACTGAGAGGTGCTGGATTAGTTTGCGGTCAGACTGACTAAACCAACACCACTAGCAAGATAAACATCTTGTTAGCCCTGCCCAGCTACGGAGGAGGCTTCCCCGCCTTCTCTGTCTCCCCCCCAACAGTGTTTCATTGTGGAGCCACCACCAGCAGCACATAAATAGAGGGGCTGGGTGGGCTGCAGGGCGGAGACCAGAGACACTGCTCAGGGTCCCGCACGGCACACCAGCGCTCGTCCCGCCTGCCCGGCCACCCCGCAGGCCCCACCAGTGTTTCATTGTGGAGCCACCACCGGCAGCACATAAATAGAGGGCCTGGGTGGGCTGCAGGGCGGAGACCAGAGACGCTGCTCAGGGTCCCGCACGGCACACCAACGCTCGTCCCGCCTGCCCGGCCACCCCGCAGGTAACCAGCACCGCACGGTGCCTCATGGCACGGCTGCGGCCGGGACCCATGGGGACATGGACCAGTGTTTCATTGTGGAGCCACCACCGGCAGCACATAAATAGAGGGCCTGGGTGGGCTGCAGGGCGGAGACCAGAGACGCTGCTCAGGGTCCCGCACGGCACACCAACGCTCGTCCCGCCTGCCCGGCCACCCCGCAGGTAACCAGCACCGCACGGTGCCTCATGGCACGGCTGCGGCCGGGACCCATGGGGACATGGAGTGGGGCAGGAGGGAAGCCCGCAGCCTTATTTTCCAAAACTAAGGGGAAGGATGAGTATTTTCACCAGGAAAAGTGGCCTGGCTTGAGCAGGAGGCTATTCCTGCTGCTCAACAACAATCTCAATATTGTGGTTTTGCTGGAAATGGGCTCTGTTGAAGAAGCCCGATTTCATTGCTAGGAGGGGTCAGAGGTTCTGGTGGTGAATGGGACTGCCAGGGCTGGGCGGAGGTCTGGGTGTGCAAAACTTTTGACTTAACGGTGTCTGATGGAGGTGCCCTGCTCTGTCTGTGTGTGAAGCCCAGAAGAACCGGGTGGCTGAATCCAGGATCAGCTGGGAGGGAGCTCTCAGCCTGGGGCTGTGGAAGGGAGGTGCTCACCAAGCAGCAGGCCTTTCCACGGGGAACAGGTCTGTGCTCTGTGCTGCTCAGCACAGGGATCAGTCCATTGGGAATGGTGATAAAGTAACCAGTAGATTAAAATGTGTGGGTGAAATGAAGGGCCAGAACAGTACAGCAAGGATAAAATTACTGTACCAGTAACTTAAACAAGCAAGAATTTGCTTTAAAAACTGGAAAGCTTCAAAGTCTTTCTTTTTTCAAACTGAAGATGGATGGAGTTCATGCTTTCAAGTTTCTTATTTGTAGTTAGGCAATTTGAAAGTGATTTTGTTTAAAGAAACTGCAATTGCAAGCAGTTGCATGCCTGCAAACGTAGGCAACTGAGGCTATAAAATACGCATCATGAAGGCAATGATATAACTGTAATCAAAGGTGGCATTGGGGCAACCAGAGAAGAGACCCAGCCTGGAAGGACTCAGTGCAGGAGGGAAGCAAGTGTGTTTAATACAGCAGGATGTAAAGTCACTCAGGCAGAGGGAAGGGATCTGAAACGCTGCCCTTAAAGAAATGTAACGTCTTGAAAAGCTGGGAGTCTGAAAAAAAGTGTCCTCAGCCTTAAAATGGAGGAGGGAGAGAGCATGAGCTGTGAGGCGGTGCTGTGCATCCTAGGAGGTGTAAATGGAAGATGGAGCAGGCACGGGGAGGGGGTTTCGCACCCATGAATTACTCCGTTTGAAAACAGACTGGCTGAAAAAGAGGCAAAGAGCAGAGTGAGTCACACAGGAGTGCCCGATAGCTGAAATATCTTCCTTACAAAGCCAAGGCTTCACAAATCGAAACAAGAAGGAGGTGACCTCCTTGGCCTCCTGTGAGGGAGTGAGGTGGCTGGAAAAGACAGGCAGCGAGCTGCCAGGTGGCCAGCGGCGGAGTGTGAGGGGCTGGGAGCTGACACCCAGACCTAGTCCATGGAGAAGCAGGGTCCCCATCACAGCAGTGGCTGCGGCATGAGCTACCAAAGCAGACAGTGCTTCTCTAAGCCCTTCATGTGTCCAAGCCCAAATGCCTCCCAGGAACAATTATTCACTGAAATGTAAATTATTAGCATCAATATAGGGGTGAACGAGTGCCATTTGCTGCCAGGGCAACCGTGCCAAAGCTCAGTGTGTGCTGCAACGTGGACCTTACTAACCTGGTGCCCATGTTGCAGCCATCTGAACACCTGGTAGGTGGAGGACGTGTCGGTCAAGCCAGGATGAGCTTTTGGACACAAGACTTTATGTTTTAGAGCAAACCACCCTGATCCCAACAAGCTGCAGATGACCAAATCTACGGCTAATGGGCATGTCAGGGAGAGGTGCCTGCGTCCTTTGAATCACTTTGAATCTCAGGCGGGGTCCAGACCTTGGGGGTTTGGTGTCCCCACGCCCAGTGTGACGCCTGTGCCTATCTCCCCCTTTTCCTCCCTAGAACATGGCTCTCGCCGGTGCCCTTCACCTGTCGCTCGCCTGCCTCCTGCTCTGTGGTGCATCCCCGAAACCCACGTGTGACCCCAGCGCCTGCACCCCATGCTCTGAGAGGGACGTGGAGGGACCAACCACCACCGCCACCAGGGGCTGCTGCCCTCCCTGCCCCCCACCCTGTGCCTGTCCCCCCTACCTGGAGAGCGACTGCGAGATGCAAGGCTTCGCCAGCGGCCACGTCCCCTCCGGCCGCTCTTTCTACATCGACTTTGCCCGCAAGCTGTGCACCTGCCACCCCAGCGGGGACATCACCTGCGCCCCGCTGTGCCCCCGCCTGCCCCCCACCTGCCAGGCCGTGGGCAGCCCCGTGGCCGACGGCT